TAATGTTGTCAAATACAGACAAAAATGAACCAAAGTGCAAATTTACCCTGAACCAAGATTTACACTCCATTTTCATCGTTTCCAAACGCAGCCTAAGTAATATATGTTTATTTAATAGTTTAAGTGAGAAATGCATATAATGACATGGATGGAGAGAGAGAGAGGCCGGCATGGATGGAAGCGGCAAGAGGCAGACTCTTGGATGATTTATATTTCTGCACCAGACCATTTGAGTAGCAGTCTAGCAGACAATAATGGCAGTTTCTTATTGATTACTGATTAGATCCCTGCCTATTTTTTATTTTGGTTCACGGGAAAATTTGCTTCTACTGATGAATCATGGGACTTAAACATAAATTGAGAGAGAAGAGAGGCTGAGGTTGCTTTTGTCCGTGTATCATGTCATCAGTCATCCAAATAAATAGCAATGTCCCGGACCCTTACGGATTGCAGAAGCCCATTATCTTAAGTGGGCCTAAACAACCTAACTGAATAAAATTTCTGGACCCACAGTCAGTGTAGTAGCAAATATGAATCTCCAATAGATCACAAACAGCTATGAGACATGGGTAAGTTGATACTAGCAAGAGTACTCTAGATGAAGAGCTTACATCAAGATGAAGAATGCATGCACTCTAAGTTTGGACCACCAACCCAATAGTTTGGACTTTGGATCAATGAGCTACTGGGCCTTATGTTGCATGTGTGGAAACACTGGTTTCCTTTACGATATTAAAGTCTTTCTGCCTACACCCACCATTGATAGCTGACAAAATTTTCATGGTATGGCCCTGGATATCTGGTGTCATTGCATGCAACCCTAAATTTGCAATCGTACTATTTGCTAGTTGTACTGAGTTGTGCCACCAGAAGGATCTCTTTCTTACAAGTGTGTATGTTCTCTGGTACAACCTAAAGTTATACTTGCTCACTTATATGCAAACAAACAAAACAACAGTGGCTGTTTAATTAATTTGCAGTGGGATTAGCTAAGGAAGTTTTCTATCCACACCCATCTTTACATTTCTGTTGCTGCATAGAGGAATCTTGTGGACAATTAAAATCAAGCTTCAAAATATCAATAAGCTCTATCACCGGTAGAGGCGTATCGGACGATATTAATACTTTTTTTTTTTTTTACTTTTTGTTTATACATTTTTTTTTAGAACCGGTTTAGAGGGGCCGGTTTAAGGCTCCTCCACCCCCTAAATCGGCCAGAACTCCAATACATCACTGTATGTACATATCAGAGAACTCATAGAACAATACATATCGGCCGATACATATCCATACTTTCAACTTTGGTTATAATTAAGATGGTCTATCAGATTAAGGGATTTTTTGATTGTTCACATGTTTGCTTCCATATGATATACAACATTCTTACATCCCACTTTGTATTGCAGTATAATTTTGCAATTAGCAAGAACAGTTCAAAGTTGATCAACTTTTTAGCTTATCTATTACCCAATAGGAATTCATCATCACTATCATAGTTATTTCCCTTTTCTTTATGATTGAGTTTTTGAGTCAATGAATGATAAACATGTCAAAAAGCAAGAGAAAAGCACTAATTTGCTGTTTGGCTTTCAAAAAGTAAAAAAGAAAACTTGCTATTTACTGCCCAATGGCTTATAAGTGTATGGTAGTAATTGTAATACTAATTATTATTGATATTTATTGGTACTAATAATTTGTCTCCATGTATGTCTCTCTCCCCATCCTTTATTCACTGATGGAGTGATGATCCAATGATTGTGCTCTCATTGATTACATCTAGAGAATTGTGAAAATTTTCTATTTCCAATACACTGAGAAATAAACTTGTAGGGTGTAATCAATGAGAGCACACCTATTGCAACATAGTTCTTTTCAAGTATTGATAATAAAAATGATCAAGAACTAAAGAAGGAAGTAAGATTTGCTACTCACAGAGTGAGTCTCACACTAACCTCACAATACATCAAGTATAGGAGAAATGACCTCCACCATGGTCCATGGCAAAGCATTTAACATATTTGTGAAGACTGACTGGAAACGAGGATAATGTTTTTTAAATTGTCTTACCTTGGAATCCAAGGAGACCAATTAATCCATGGCAGTCCCACCTTATCAGTTCCTCCCTGGCAGCACAGTCTAGCTCATATTAATTCTGTGGCAGATTTGCTTCTCAACTGAGCTGAATGAAGCATGAATCCTATAATGTACTCATCACTCAACTGGCTTCATCAATGGAGGCCGGAGAAATGCTAAGGAAGAGGAGTAATGCCTTTAGAAAGTGGTTCTAGCTAGGTTTAGTAGCCAACTGATGAGAGCAATGTCATTAATAAATTGTCTGTTTTGGAATCTTATCAGTTTCCTTCACCACTATGTTGAATTAATCAAGCGTAATAAGCCCTCGTTTATACAGAATAGGTGGCTTGATGTTTTATTTGTTCAACTCGACACTTGACAAGTTGAGAAACAAACTACACAGTTCCTTTACTTCCTTCAACAGAAGAAAAGAGCATCCGAGGAGAAGAAATTAAAACCCATATCGTTAACAGTGTGTTTGTAAGAGAGAGAGAAAGAGAGAGAGAGATCACCATTTAAAAACTTCTCTTGTATCTTATCCTTGGCTTATGTACCCTACAACTGCACATTATGAACATCTCACATATTTACATGTATCATTCATGGAGAAATGTTCCCAATGAGCAGCTGTGGTGCACCCTGGGTAGGTGTGGGTAGGAGATCCCAACACATCTCAAAAACTTGTCCTCAGTTAAAACCGGTTTATTAATGTTTTTAATGGCCATTTTATTTTTGTAAACAAGTGGTAATTGTGGTTGATTGGTTTGTAAACTAGGGAGCTTTATCATTAATTGTTGGGAAAGACAGGATATGTTTCCTTCCTCCCGGCCTTTTGATAATGGTTAGTAAAATTTAAGGCGGTGATCTCCACTCAGCTGAATAAACTTACGGTTCTAAGTAAGGAAAAAAAAAGAACAGAAAAGGAAAAAAAAAAAAGCAGATGTCTTGTATAATGATTAACAAGACACTGCAGAATTCTCCCTAACATGTTCATCAATCATCAATTCTACAACTTCAAAAGCAGATGTAAGGGGGCTTACTCCATGTGCATCTTTTGTGGGGTTTAGCCGTTTAGAAGACCAAAACATCCTCTATGGCCTTTTATGATTATAAAGAATAGCATTCTTTGTACATCAATAAAATCCTGAGGTGACAAGTTTGAGAACACAAGTTCAAGTTTTAGAGCAGCCATTTTATACAAGAAATTAAGGTTTTCGAACCGCTATTGATCAAGACGGTCAGATCATTCGGCCCAGAAACATTTCAGGCAATTGGTTCCATTTTACCTCAAACCTAGTCCCTAGCCAAAAGCCATTGAATTGGTTAATGACCCATTGATCTGGAAAGTCAAACCGTTGATTCATTTAATAGTTTTTGGCCGTTTTTTATTTTAATTTTTTGTTAGAACGGACCGTCCATTTGAACCGGACAATCGAATCATCAATCTAGAAACCAGTGGCCAAAACAATACCAATTCCAAATCAGTTTTTAAAACATTGTAAAAAACACACAAAAAAAGTCAAGTATCTGATCCACTACCCCTCCCAAGGCTCTCCAATCAACTAATCTCAACATTGGGTAATGGCCCTCTTTTAACTACCCACACAATCTTACAACTGCAGGTGAAAACATCTCAGTTATCATTTATGGGGAAATATTTCTAATGTGTAATTATAGTAATCTTGTGAGTGGCAGATTGAAGCTCCTTTCGGATTTACTCTTTATAAAATGCACCTCACACTGACCTTACAGTGCATTGCAACCATGCAGTGAGAACATTTTCCAATACTTAATATTATCATTCATCGGAAGATATTCCCAATACACAGCTGTGATTCACTGTGAGGCTGGTGTGAGACTTGCTCTGTGATGAGCAAATTCGATCTTCCTTTTAATAAAGGATAAAGTCATTTCAGAGGGATTTCAGAGGAGATGTGCTCAAATCAGCAGCCTTATAGGAATGCGCCCCATAGAAATTTCTATAGGGAATGTGCCCTATATAAATGTGTTCAAATGAGCAGCCTTTTTTATTCAGTATGAGTACAGTAGTGTGCAATGGTGTGCAGCACCTATCAGCTGCCAAGTGTGCCTTGGGGTTCACACAATCGATGTGCAACACCTGTCCCTTGCAATCATACAAACAAGGAAGATATTCCCTATGAGGAGATCAGGACACAATTGTAGTAGGACAGGTGTTGCACACTGATTGTGTGCTTAGTGTGCTTATTACTTAACTTTGCCTACCAGATGGAGAGTCCATGGTTTTAACTTTTAAGTGATGACTACTCTTAATTACTCCAAGGTTTCGTATTCTTGACAGGATTCACTTGTATTTTTGTTGTCTTCTTTGTAACAACTTGGCTCTGTTCTTATATTAAATAATATAGAGCTAGTTTGATGAGCAGAAACATGGTTCCTTGAGCTCAATCCAACACAATACTTCATCACACCAGCTGAAGAGTAAATGCTCAGATGAGGGAGGAATCAAACGTAGAGTGTACCTAAACTGTTTGGACTGGTACGGTTGTTTCAGTGTGCACTAACTTCATTGCCACAGTAAGCAGCAATCTCTCATTAATATGTTTTTAAGACAAGTAGGTGAAGCTGACAGTGTGTCTCACCTTCTTTCTTACACTCCATTTCTTAGTTTTTTACCGCTTCTGCTTCACACAGGCAACCTCTTTCAGCCCACATTTAGCTGAACAGATGAACAAGAGAGAGAGAGAGTGGCTACTGTGGTCACCAGTGGGTAGATCATACGTGGCTGAATATTACTTGGTGGTAACAATGGGCCACCGACAGTTACCGTGAGGATAGAAATTTCGATAATAAATATTCATGGTCAGCGAGCAAGAATCCACACGCCAAAATTTTTTCCCATTTTCCTGCTATTTGTTAATATTCTCCTTTTTTGCATGGCTGCCAAAATGACTCAGGAAGCATCCTTTTCCAACGACCCACGATGGAATTATGACGTCTTCTTGAGCTTCAGAGGTGAAGACACCAGAAAAAGCTTCACTGATCACCTCTACAATGCTCTGGTGCAAAGGGGAATTCACACCTTCAGAGACGATGAAAAGCTCAAGAGAGGAGAAGACATCGCCTCTGAGCTGCACAAAACCATCGAAGAGTCAAGGATTTCAATCATCGTTTTCTCCAGAAACTATGCATCCTCTAGATGGTGCATGGATGAACTCGTGAAGATCCTGGAGTGCAGGAAAATGATGGGGCAGTTGGTTCTGCCTGTTTTCTATGACGTCCACCCATCGGATGTCCGAAAGCAGACGGGAAGTTTTGCGGAAGCATTTGCCAAACATGAAGAGCATTTCAGGGCGGCCGGGACTGAGCGTAAAGTGCAGAAGTGGAAAGAAGCTCTCGTGGAAGCAGCAGATGTGTCTGGGTGGGATTTACAAAGCGTTACAAATGGGTAAATCTTGCTGATTCCTGCTTCTTTTTTTTTTTTTTCTATTTGATCGATTATGATTATTATAGAATTTCAAGTCACGATAGTGTTTGTTCTTTCTCCGAGAATTTACATCGTTCTTTGCTCCTGAACATTCTTTGTACTGAAAATCCAGATAATCTTTGTTATAAAAACAGTTTCTTTTATTTAATTAATTTGTAGTTATAAAATCAATTGACCCAAGATATAGTGCTTTAATGAACTTACGATAAGATGGTTGACAAAATAGAGCCATGTCAACATGGTTGACTAACTTTATTTTCCTCCATTTGAAGGAGGAGCCTTTGCTCCTTCCTCTGACCACTGTTGATGTTTGGACATGAGTTTACTTTCGCTCTTTCATTAAACGAGGGGAGGACCCACGTAACCTATTTAACATTCTTTTAAATATTAGCAGCGGTTTGACTTTGGGAGTGTTCTAGTTGGTTTTGTTTTTTAAAAACAAAAACAACTGCCATGACAGCAAAAACAATCCATGGCTGTTGTACCATTTTTCTGACATGGCAGTTCTTTCTAGAATTGGGATATCAAACCGACCTTACAGCCACATCCCACCCTATATTGGGAACATCTCCCCATTAATAATAAATATAGGGGGCGGGAGATGTTTTCCATGTGTGGCATGGACATGCCGTGAGATTGCTGTGAGGCATGCAGTGTGAGGAGCAGATCCAGACTCTTTTTTCTATTTTTAAAAACGAAACTAACCATATTGTCCAATACCCCATTGTTATGAGATCAGATTGGTGCCCCACATGCACATCTGGGCATACATTGGGAATACCTCCCATATTAATCATAGCCTGCCGGAGGTCAATGTTCTCAATACATGGCTGGGATGGCCTGTGGGGTGTGTGGGGAGCACGCTCTGTGGGGCGCTGATGTGAACTCCTCTGTTGTGAACCTTAGAAGGAGACTCCTTTGCTCCTTGGTGGAGGGAGCCAAAGTTTTCTTAGGGAATGAGCCACAAGTAGACATTTTGTATGGGTGATTCCATTGATGGACCCCATACATGCTTATAAGAAAGTCGATGCTTATTGATAGACAAGATCTGCTGCACCATCTTGGTATTTACAACATGTAAGGAGACACCTGTCACATATTGAATGGAAGTGCATGATTAGTGCAACGAACAGATTTCAACTCATAAGTGGGTTTTGTTTGCTACTAATTCTACTGGGATATGGTTGATGATAATGTGGCCAAATGTAACCATTGACCATGAGATCACCCACCATTAGCAACTTGGCTGGTAGTAATAACTATGATCTTCAAACCAAACCCTCTCTAGTTGTACTATAGAGAACTTCATCCAGTTCATTGTATTTTGACACTCGTCTTTGTTCATTTTTCCTTCATTATAACACATTCAATGTATGTGCCTTCTTTACTAGTGTACAATATTAGATGCCTTTGGTAAATCTGAAATCATATTCTCAAATAACAAAAAAGCTCTGAAAGCAATTTTGAATTTTGAATTGTCAAAGGCAACTTTTTATTTTCTTATTCAAATTTTGAGTTTAGTGAAGTTATCTAGTATTCTGTACATATTCTGAATGTTAGAACCCTTGAAAAATGTTTGCTTTTAGTGTTTACCCTTTTGGAGGTATAACATTGATTGAAGTCATTATATCATATTAAATGTAATATATAATAATATTACATAATAAACATTAAATTACATTATAGGTCAAATATTTTAGATTAATATGGATTGATTTTGTTCTATCTTTCACCTGTCATCAACACAATGAAAGCATGAATCAAGTATAACCAAAATTAAGCTTCCAGCATGTTAACTATTTATTTTTTTCACATTTGCAGGCATCAGTCAATGCTCATCCAAGGAATTGCTGAAGAAGTTTTGACAAAATTGAGTAAAACATTACTAGATGTTGCTGTTTACCCAATTGGAATAGATTCACGCGCGCGTGACATGTATACCTTACTAAGTATTCGACCAGACGATGTTCGAATCGTGGGGATTTGGGGAATGGGAGGAATAGGCAAGACAACTATTGCCAAAGCTATTTATAACCAAATTTTTGGTAGATTTGAAGGTGGTAGCTTTCTTGCAAATGTTGCAGAAAATTTCAAGCAACATAATGGTATAGTTCAATTACAAGAACAACTTCTCTTGGATATCTTAATGGTAAAAGATTTAAAGATTAAAAATATTGCTAGTGGAAGTAGTGTGATTAAGGAAAGACTATGCTATAAGAAGGTTCTTCTTGTTCTTGATCATGTGGATCAACCAGATCAATTATATGCTTTAGCTAGAGAACATAATTGGTTTGGTGCAGGAAGTAGAATTATTATTACAACTAGAGATGTTCATCTGCTGAATGTTCTTCAAGTGGATGAAATATATGAAGCTAAGGAATTGAGTTATGAGGAATCTATTAAGCTCTTTAGTTGGCATGCTTTTGGGAAAGACCATCCAACAGAGGATTATATGGAGCTCTCAAAGCGTGTAGTGAGTTATGTTGGAGGGCTACCTTTAGCTCTTGAAGTCTTGGGTTCTTTTCTACTTGACAAAAGAAGCAAACCTGAGTGGATAAGTGTATTAGAGAAACTAAAAAGAATCCCTCATGATCAAATTCAGAAGAAACTTAGAATAAGCTTTGATGCACTAGATGATCAAATGAGGGACATATTCCTTGATATTGCATGCTTCTTTATAGGAATGGACAGAGATCATGTTATTAGAATACTAGATGGTTGTGGTTTCTTCTCAGAGACGGGAATCAATGATCTCATCCGCAAATCTCTTCTAAAAGTAGGTGAAAACAATGAACTAAGGATGCATGATCAGATTCGAGACATGGGAAGAGAAATTATTCGTGAAAAATCGCCCAAGGAGCCTGGAAGTCGTAGCAGACTCTGGTACCATGAGGATGTCCACCATGTATTGACACAACACAGCGTAAGATCTAATACCCAAATCTTTTACTTTTTTAGTTTTTTACAATGCATAAGTAGTAATCTCTTTTTGCATGAAGTTTTAGTGGTAAATAGAACTAGCTTCCATTACATGGCTGATTGTGTATTAGAACATTTTCCCCTTACAGGACTAGCCATTGAAATAAAGAAAGTTTCCTTTAGTCCTGTGTTATACAGAGATATAAGTAGAAGGTGGAAACACATGCATCCACATGTCTTGTGAAAACAGTCTACATTCATTTCTTCCACTATTTTGGTCCAGAATGAGTTGAATCTTTTCCCATTGTGATACCATCAATTGAAGTTATACTTTTTCTTGAACCATGTACTACAGAGAAACAAATTAGACCAGATTTAGACAATAGCAGTGCTTGAAAGAACAAATATTTGAACTATTTTGTGCTTAGGTTGAGGCTTAGCACCTTGTGTTGGGCTTAGTTTTGTGTCAGTTAAAGTTTAATGTTTGATTAGATTGGGCTTACATTGGCTCTTTTACACTTGGGTTGGACTTGTTGTGGGCCTCCAAATATGGCCCAGATACAGTAGAGTTGTCCACCTATGTTAGACTTTTGACAACAAATTTGAGACCTTTGATGGTTGTGAAGAAATAAATATTCTGGTAATTACAGGGGTACTTTTAAGGAGGGGGTTTGACACTTATGCTCCTGTACTATTTTCTGTGACACTTAATAACCTGTGCCTATGGGTAATGTTAGATCCTGTGAAGGTATTAATGTTGAGTGAGAAATTATCTAGTTGCCCACAAATGATTTTTGTGTTTTTAAGGAAAAAAGAAAAAAAGACAAGAAAGAAGGGGAAGGATTAATGGTGGTGATGGGGATGATGGTATGATGGGATAGATAAAGTGAGGAATATCATGAGACAGGAGTATATGTGAATGGACTAGTTGTGGTGAAGGAGGTGGATGAAGGGAGGGATGAAATAGGTGATGGTGAGTGGACAATGGAGGAAGTGGTGGAGATGAGTGGTTTTGAGGCAATGGTAGTAGAGCAAGTGCTGAAATCTTGTTACAAGATTTGGATGGATGAGATTAATTAATTGATCTTAGGAGGTTGTTTTGATGGTTAAGATTGGAGAGGTGGTGAACACAAGTGAATAGATGGACTTAAATGACCAAATCAATTATGGAAATGGTGGTTTAGAGAGAAAATCAGAAGTGGTGGTACCGTTTGATTTTGGGTAACAGCAGAGGTCATATATTTTATCATGTAGAAGTTCTGGCACAAAAGTTGGATTTCTTAGATCAGATTCATTTATGGATTCCATTTTAAGAAACTAGATAATGGGTTTAGTTCGGTATATTACTTGGATGAATAAGATAATCCATATCTCTAAGAGTCTGTAATGGTGGCCTAGATTTTTGGGTTGATTTGATGAATTATTTGAACAGCATGGATTAGTCGAAATATTGGTATAAATTGGGTGGTACAGATTAATCACTGATCCTTTAGAGATCACTTTAATGGTATAAATCTTTGGGTTGATTTTGAGATGTTATTTTTATGATCCAGGTTTTAGACTTATGTACATCACTTTATTTGGCCTAGATTTTCAGAAGTTTTAGTACTTGACTTGAATGGCCAAAATCATCTGAAAATTTGGTACATTGCCTGGATAGCCAAGATCACTTGGATGGTATGATTTGAAAACTGATTTTAGGAGACTACTTTCATGGCCTAGATATTTGGAAGAAGAAGAAGAAGATTTTAGGTTTAGTTGATATATTATTTTAATTGGTTTAGGTTCGTTTTTTTTTTTTAGAAAATTTGGTGCATTTCCTTGAATGGTCAAGATTAGTTAAAATTTTGATACATTACTTGGATGGCCAAGATTGATTTATTAACCTTCAGAGGCCTAAGATACTAGCTCAATGGTCTAGAAAGCATAAGGTAGTCATAGTGTCAAAGAAAAAAATAGTACAAAGGACTGTGACACACACTCCAAGGTCATGAGAGGAGCCTCTAATTTACATAAAATATTATCAAAGTTGGATCTATATTGGGTGAACTATTTAATGGGATTGTACCAACTTGTCAATTGATTTATTATTACTGGAATTATAGAATACATCTATTCTAGAAGGTTCAAAATATCGATACGTCAGTAGGGGTGTATAGGGCTATAATGGGACTTTTTTTTAATTTTTTTTTATTTTTTTAAAACCGGTTCAGGGGAGTCGGTTTAAGGCTCCACCCCCTGTGGGGGCATATCAGGGAACTCCCAAATGATACGTATTGACCAATATGGGCCAATAGGTATTGATACTTTGAACTTTGGGTTGATCCCAATTATCATGAATCAAAATAACTGCTCTTTTACTATTCATTTATTGTGTTGTATGTGTGTTTCATGTCATCTGTCATGTTCAAGTGATGTTTAATTTGCACTGATCCAATTAATGCTTTATGTTATCAGGGAACTGAAGCAGTTGAAGGCCTCATTCTATCAAAGATAATAGATGAGACTTTGAGTACTAAAGCATTTGAAAAAATGCATAATCTAAGATTGCTCCAGCTTAACCATATACACCTCAAGGGAAGCTATGAATATTTTCCCAAGAACTTAAGGTGGCTCTGTTGGCATGGATTCCCTCTGAGATATATACCTACCAATATTCATCTAGAGAGCCTTGTTATCCTTGACATGCAATATAGCAAAATGGAACAAGTTTGGAAGGAAATCAAGGTCTGTAGTAGAAAAAATAGAAATGCTCTGTTCTTATGTGGATCATTTGCATGATTTCATGTACTGAACTAGTTTCTCTAGTTTCTTATACTTCTTTCTTCTGTTTATTTTTTCACAGGTTCCTCTGAAAAATCTGAAACTCCTTAATCTTAGCCATTCCAAATACCTAACCCAAACACCCAACTTCTTAGTATGCCCTAATCTAGAGATACTGAACCTAGAAAATTGTGAAAACTTAGTTAAGATCCACCATTCTATTGGAAATCTTAGCAAACTAGCTTTACTAAACCTGAAAAATTGCAGAAACATTAGAAAACTTCCAAGCAGCATCAGTCAACTAACATCTCTTAAAGATCTTATTCTATTTGGTTGCCCAAAACTGGTTACTTTGCCATCTAAATCCCGGCTTTCTTCAGTACGGTCTTGGGCTTTATTAGGAAGAAAAGATCACCCTCATTCTATTACTCAGCTACCCATTTCTTTCTCCTACCTATCTTCCTTAGAAAGATTGGATCTCAGTCACTGCAACTTACCAGAAAGCGCAATTCCTAGCGATCTGGGGAACTTATCATCACTTAAAGTATTGCATCTAAGCTATAACAACTTCAGCAACCTACCAGCCAGCATGAATCGTCTCTCTCAACTGAAGGAAATTTTCCTGGAGAATTGCCGGAGGCTTCAATCAATCCCAGAGCTTCCACCAAGTTTACAACTACTCAACGCAAATGGGTGTACGTCGCTGGAAACAATATCAAACCTCGGAAGCTTAACATCATTAACTACACTACGCCTATGCAAAACCAGTATCTATAACCTACCTTCCATTGCCCAGCTTTCTCATCTGGGCTACCTCGAGATAAAGGAATGTCCAAAGCTTCAAACGCTTCTGGGACTGCCATCGTATCTATTGAGGTTGAACTTAGAAGGTTGCACCTCAATAGAAAGATTAAACTTATCAAATTTACGCCTCTTATCAGACTTCTATGTAACTAATTGCACCGAGCTGGCGGAGATTCAGCTCCCCGCCACCCTAGAACACTCGCGAGTCATTGTCGTGGGAGGCTGCAACAACCTGTCGTTCTCTTCTAGGAACAATCTACTAAGCCTCTTACAGGTTTCTTTCTTTCTATTCTCTCTCCCTCTCTGTAAATGTATGTATGAACATAAACGTCACGATTCAGTTTCCTATTGGAACAGGGACAACGGCAACAACAACGATTCGATGTATTATTTCCACAAAAACGGTTTGATATCTTTCTCCCTGGGAGTGAGATTCCTGAAGGGATTAAGTATCAAAGTATGGGTTCTGTGATATCGTTTGAGGTGCCTCCTGCTCCAGTCATGGATCAACAAATCAGACTGCAGGGGCTTACTATATGCGCTGCTTACGCTACAAATGAAGATCCAGACTTATTTGGGGTGCCTCCAGTAGTTGGTTTCGCTAATATTGTTAATAAAACCAAAGGTCTTGAGTGGAAGCTACTACCACAGTTTAGTTATGCACCAAGAATGGCATCTGGGGCTCACATCTGGGTGAGCCACAGGTCGGATACATGGATTCAGAGCTGCTTGGAAGTTGGAGACCGAGTGGAGGTTTCGATAGTATGTGAAGGAGGAAGACATATGACTACCAAGTGCGGAGTTCATCTAGTATATTTTCCAACTGATGAGGGAGATGGATTGGTGACAGTTGATTCAGTGAGGAACAGCTGCTGCCAGAAGTATCTAGCCTAATGGGGATCCATAAGACCCTAACAGATGGCAATGGAGACGAGTTTGAACCACCTACATATATATTAACAACATCTCCCTCTTTGAGTCTTAGTTTAGCCAATAATTAATACCCTCTTCTAGGAAATGCTATGCAATGTAATGTAATGAAATGAGCGATATACATAATTATCATCATTATCTCACCATAGTTTAGGGGTTATGTTCAATTTATTAGATTTAGGATCAAAAAGACAAAAGAAAATAGGATTAGATTCATTAGAATTTGTAAGATGTAACTTCTACATTTTCCAATGTTTCTAGTGAATGTTGAAATTGATGGGGATGTTGGTGTGCTAGGAGCCTAGGACCTAGGATCATCTCTTGGTCTTCTAAAAAAGAACAGTCATTCCTCTGTTTCGCCAACATGGTTAATTCTGTTTTCTTAATTTTCTATGTTGAAATCAGAACAAAAGTGCAGAAACCCGAAGTTAAAACTTAAAATCCAGCCATTCCTCAAGTATTCCTTGATTTTCAAACCAAAATAATAAATAAATAAACAGGAATCGTTCCGAAATAGAAAACCAGTTTTCATTTGGACCCAACATGACAGACTAGTTTACTGTGGCAAAGAGGCACCATCTTTATGATACACTCAAATGACAAAAAAAAAAAAAACAATGCAAAATAATAAAGCCATAGACTAGGTAATATGCCAGCTCACAAGTTTTCACCAGTGTTTTCAATCTCATTATTAACCCGGATGGTTGGACCTAAGGTTCAAAACTTCGTCACGTATCGGCCCGTATCAGTCGATACGTATCTTTTCAGCAAGTTTTCGGCACGGTACATGGTACCAAATTGAATGTGTCATATCGATTCATCGTATCGAGGCCGTATTGTACCCGTATTGTGCCCGTATTATTGAGTATCGATGCATTTCGGCACTGTATTGGCAGATATGCTATCGATACGGTAGCATATCGACCGATACAGTACGATTTTACTGTGGTGAAAACACAAATAAAATTCCCTTCAAAAGAGGGCTTTTAAACCCATTTCAGAAGCCCTCTTTTTTCCCAAACCCTTCAAAAAGCTTTTTAACCTTTTTAAAGATTCAAATCTTGTAAAAATTTGCCAAAACATCTATAAATTTGCAAGATTCAACAAGTTTTTCAAGGTAGTGAAAAAATGAGTGAAAATAAATATGTTTTTTCAAGTTTCTTTTACATTTTCGGCCAATGTTAAAAAAGATAAGGGGAAAGAAAGTGGTTAGCACCCTACCCCTTTGGCTGGGGGGTGAAGCCCCCAGACCCCGACAAGACCCCCCTTTTAACAACTATTATGCATTTTTATTTTTCTTAATATAAAAGCTTTTTATTAAAGATAAAGAAAAAAAATGAAATCCCCCTTCCTCCTTCCTCCTCTTAAGGAAGCCTATGCCTCTTGCATTCTAAATTATGCTTTACGCCTCTAAGTAGTGGAATGCCTCTATGTTTTAAAACATTGATATTTATTTTTTTATTTTTTAGAATAAAATATGCAAAATAATTATTTCTTCTATTATGTCCATAAATCTATTCAATTTTTTGTTACATATTTAATTTTCTTAAATTTAATTTAATTTTTAGAATAAAACATGTAAAATAATTATTTGAATAAAAATAAATAATTATTTAGTTTTTAGAAAATTAGAATAAAACATGCAAAATAATTACTTGATCTATTATGCCCATAATTAGATAGTATGTTTCTATTCCCAACTTCCCGTTTATTGATTATAATATGTTTTTTCATAAAACCCACTAAAACGTTATTTTTATGCATAAATAGCTCATTTATGTCTTATATACAGTGATATTGATGTTTATTTATGATTTATTAGAATATTTATAACATTTCCATGTGTATCTTAATTTTTCGTCCGTATCCATACGTATCTAAGGCGTATCCCAATACGTCTCTTAAATTTGCCTTTCTGATACACATAGTGTTCCGATACTTTGAACCTTGATTGGACCGGTTAAAACAAGATACACAATGCAAAAGCCCACCATCAAGGACCAAATAATACATGTGAAGCTGGATATTAATAATAATAAGTAACATTTTTAAAAGTTGGTACCAACCCAAAAACAAAACCATTTTCTATCCAAATGGACGGTTTCCATCTGGGTTAGGTTAACCCATGATGGTGTAAATTAAGCAAAAATATAAAACATATAAGATGTGGAAAACTACAGAAAATACATGGTAAAAATGAGAATATTTCTACATTGTATTAAACAAAAATAAGTATGATAAATGATAATTATTGACTAATAAATGAATCTAATACAAGGCCCATTGGCCAGGTCAAATCATTCAACGGCTTAGCTAGCCAAGTCATTAGTCCTTAAATGAACCAAATATTTCCCCAGATTTTAAGCCATTGTAATGTAAGCATGTATTTAGCAACCCGCTTTCAGCACCTGTTTGTAATCATCAAACCACCCTGATGTCCTTTTAAGATCTTAGTCTCTTAGGGGCCCTCTTTGAACTGTATATTGCTGGGGGCAAGCTTAGTACTCTAGTGGCATCATTTGGAAGATCCTCAATGCAGTTCCTTACCTCTACAGAAGTGGTTCCCACCTCATGGTCATGAAGACTTCTCTTCTTATTAACTCCTTCCGTATCCATTGTTGATCCATATCTGTCAATAACAGCATGATCGAGAGCCACGTCTTCTGGCTCGTAAACCACATGCACCCCACACTTTTTAACTTGCAATATCTGATCCTGATCTACATATTACTGAAAACTCCATTTCATCCACACTGTCAAACTGATTGGCCATCTCATTATTGGGTAGATAATTGACAAAAGAATGATGCATTTGACATAGGTTACTTACTGAAGGCTCATGGAATTCTGACCACCAGTAATGATCTTTCATTTTATTATAGAACTTAATGTAAGCAGTAAAACCGATCAAATTGGTCTCCTCACCAGTAGGGTTGCCAATCAACTCTATCTCTTCCAGTACAGCCTTGCTGATCAAATTAGTCTCTTCATCCGAAGTGTAAACTACCCATATAATCAGTGCTTTGATTCTACAATCCTTAAAGCGAACTGATATTACAGACCCCATAATCTGATGGTTGATCCAATCTGGAACTACACTCTTGAGAAGGAGAACAAAAGAACTTCCATGCAGACCCTGTTCCATGTAAATCAGATGTTTAGATAGACAAATTGACAAGAGGAGAGAGAGAGAGAGAGAGAGAGACTGTCTGAGATTATTCCAAAACATATCTGTTAGATTGTTGTAACTATCAACAAAAATGTATCCTACAGATTCCAACAACTCCAAGCCCTGAATCTGAACTAGCTTGTCACAATTAGAAAGCTGTAAGTGCGACAAGTTATGCAAGTTTGAATGTTTGGTAACCCTTCCAATGGCATACAATCATTTGCAAGCAATCTCTCCAAACCTGATGGAAGCTCTTTGATTGATTGAAGCCTTGTGCATTGTTGTAATCCAAGGTATAGAAGTCGAGAAAGGCCACCAAGGCCAGTTGGTAGGCTACACAAATTATTCTGGAAAAGATGCAATTGTACCAATGAGGTTAAGCTTTCAAGATTTGATAATGTTTCCAAAGATGTACAACCATCTGCATTTAGTGACATTAAGCTTGATGGAAGCTTTGGTAGTGATTTTAGCCTTGTGCAGTTTCTTAATTCAAGAAACTTGAGCTGGTGAAGACAACTGATGCTGTCTGGTAGGCTACTGAAATTGTTGTTGCTCAGATTTAACTCTTCCAATGACTTCAAGATTACAAAAGCGCTGGACATTGGCTCTTCTAATGGATTACAATAACTGAGATCTAGACATTTTAAGAAGCATAAACTTGAGAGCGAAAATGCTGGTGGAATGATGGAACCTGGACATTTTGACAGCGATTTCCAATAACATAAGAACAAAGGCCATGGTTTTGACTGAGACATGTGAAGATTTGAGCAGCCTGAGAGTATCAGAGATTCAAGACATTTTACCTCCCAAACACTCCTCAGCAGATCCTTTAGTTTTATGCAATTTTTTAGATTCAAATAAATAAGTTTCTCAAGGTGTCCAACAGAATGATGAACATCAACCAAACTTATACAGCCTTCAAGGATCAATCTCTCTAGATTGGGGAGTCCTAAGAAATTCGGAGTTTTGGTCATGTGCACTGAATGGCTAAGATTAAGTATCTTCAACTCTTTGAGCGACTGTACAAAAGAACAAAAATAAAATAAATAAGAAGATTGTGAAAAATTCAGTTTCCATGAAATGTGGATTTCACTAAAAGAAATTAAAAACAAAGATGGAATGCCTTACCTTGTTTCCATTCCATAGTTGCTTAATTCTACTATATTGCATGTCAAGAATGCTAAGATTCTCCAGATGAAATTTGGTTGGTAAATTTTCCAAAGGGAATCCATGCCAACAAAGCCATCTTAATGATCTAGGAAGATGTTCATAGCTCCCCATGAGGTGTACATGGTTGAGTTTAAGGAATCTTAGTTTCTGCATTGCTGCAAATGCTTCAGCATTCAGTTCATTAATTAATCCATCTGAGTTTTCTATCACAAGGCCTTCAATTGCACCTGTTCCCTGATTAGTATTAAGAGAAGAATTTCTATAATTACTTAGTAGACAATTAAGGTTCAAATAAATTGCACAAAAATCAGATGAAGAAACTAAAGCAAAGAGAAGTTAACTAAAATAAAAACAAACCTTTAAGTTAGCAACAGTCTAGCCTAACTACTAAAGATACCAATATCGAATCCAAGAGATAATATAGCCTATGAAAGATTACTACCAACATTACCATATAAAGGATTGATGGACCTTACAATTACAACTCGAAATTATATTCCTTAGTACATCCTGTCAAACTCAAGATGTGACATGTCAACATCTAGAGTTTGCAAGAATGGATGAACTTCAAAGCAGAACAATCAAATAATCTGAAACCGCAGATTATCTGAACCTGATCAGTGAAACCAGCAATGATCAACATTTGCAATTTCCGGTCCAACTGAACTTTATTAGCCATCACAAGCTGATGGAAAATGAAATAAAAAAAAATGACCCCAGATGCCAAGGCAATTTGGTCAAATGACCTATAGTTGTGGTCCTCAGAAAATAAGCAGATGGATCAATGGACCCTACAGGTGTTCAAAATAAAACATCAGATGGACCATTATGGATGAATACATGCGCTCTTATTATGTGTCAGATGGCTAAAACACACACCCAAGGACATATCATCAGATGCAAGTACTACTGAGCAGAACAAAAATTGTGCACCCCAGATAACAGACTAATAGATGCACTATGGTGTCAGAACAACCAAGGTTCGAAATTTTGATACGTATTGGGCCGTATCGGGGGCTTCCCGATATGCCCCTACAGGGGGTGTTTCAGGGTTTAACCCGGTTCAGGGGGTAGACAGGCCTTAAACTGACCCCTTTGAACCAGGTTTAAAAAAAATAGGAGAAATGAGCTTTGAATTGATACAGGCCGATACGCCCCTACCAGCATATCAGCCATATCGATATTTTGAACCTTGAGAACTAAATGAGAATGATGACAAATAGAAAATCAAATTGGGATCAAATGGTCAGAATAAATCAGAAGCACTAATAAATAGATATGTAGACGCTCATGAACTATTTAGACAAAGTTTATAGAAGTAACATCTAATAGACTGTCTTCTAGTTCCCTCCTCTTTTATAAGCGACAGTCAAAGATGATTCATTGCTGTAAGAAAAAATTACATAATATCCACAGTTTTCAATAGCCATTACAAAGAAAAGAAATAATGCTGACCCACTCTGTAGTTGCTAAAATTGAATTTTACAATTCAAAACCTGGCCCAGGCATTCCCCCAACAAGATTGTCACTTGTGACTCCTGATTTGACTAGGGAGTTAGCTTGACTGTTGACTGACTGGGGTGTCCACTTGAAGGGGGTGTTCAGATTGGGAGCCAAAGCTCTAGCCTCTTTAACTAATTTCCACCACCAGATCTAAAATTTGTATGACCACATACCCTGTCCTACATAAACCAGTCATAGATCATCTACTTACCATTGATGAAGAAAAAAATAGAAAAAAGCAAGCATTGGGTTGAGATCAATATTGCTGAGTAAACTAAATCACAAGTAGAAACTTAAGTTGTAAGACAAAGGAACTTGAAAGAGAAGAGGACAAAATATCCAAAGGAACTTGAAACCAAATTCGACATGTGAATGGGAATGCAAACAAGCCTGGAGAACCCAAAAAACTATTTAGGCCTTATTCATTTTCAAAAGTATATTTGCCTAGGTAAGTGAACACAAAATCCTAGGAAACACTTACCTAGGTAAGTGAACTTGCCAGGGTAAGTCATTGTTAGAATGGGCAAAATTGCCCCAACATATTTTGTCAACTTTCCCACTTGGGGGAAAGTGGGAAAGTTACTTACCCGAGTGGGTAAGTTACTTACCCGGTACATAGGGAAAGTGATTTTTCCATGGGTCCTACATAAACATGAAAAAGAACATGGGAAAAGTGGTCAATGGGAACTACATACCATTGACAACCTTTCTCCCCTTCAAAAACCGAAAAACAAAAGGGGCCTTAACATCTACAACAAGATGTATCAACATCTCAAATCATCATTGATAAATAGTAAAGAACAATGAAAAGGGAATTATAAGCAAGAAGGGCAAGGCAAAGTAGAGGTTTACCTGAAAGATGGTAGATGGCTCTAGTGAGGGAGAAAGGGTGAGTGTAGGCTTGGGGGAATTATTAGGGTTTTCAGAGTAGAAGAGCTTCCACAAGACTCTAGAAGATGAAGGTGTGGAAGAGTCTCAGACATCTCCTATTTATAGACACAGGTGCATCAGGGAGGAAAACATTTCAAAGCGGGAAAGTTTGTTAGAATTCTGTTAGATCTAAAACAAGCAACACACTTGGGGTATCACCACATGTCCATGCAAAGATCCTGAGATCTAGGTTCCCGCCCTTTTCCTTGGGATCCCCACATGAGCACTGGTGTAGCTACAGCCCCTTTCTAGATGCTGGCCCGATTTTGCTACAAGGATTTCTTCTTCTCGAAAATGCCTAAATGTTGACATGGCATTGCGAGATGAGTATAAAGGAGTTGCGTTGTCATGGTGTTGTAATGTAATGCTAGGGTGACAAGCCATCACAGCACAGGAGGTCCTTGCGATGCGAGGTCAAATTGTGGGACAAAGTTGCAGTGACAAGGCTCTCGTGTCGGGACTAACGGTTTTGCAATGCAATGGTGAGGGGTTATTTCATAACACAAAAAAAGGCATCAGTCGTGATTTTGCAGTTTTGAAAAGTGGGATTGTGATGTGATGAACTTGGGGTCTAGACTACAGTGTGGTCACACTGTGGTGACGCGTTTGTATGACTTCCATCGCAATTCCCATGCCCTCTAAATCCACAGGTTATTACAATGAAAATCAATAAAGTGATGCCTGGAAATGAAGAGGTCAAAAACACAAGAAAAGAAGTGAGGCGTGGATCAACTTCACTTCAACATCCATGATCTAACTGAAAATGTGATATCAAGCAGAAAATCAATCAGGTTGCCTGCAGAATAACCCTTGCAGGGTTACTTACCTCAACAATACTTGTTTCATATCCTTTTAGAAATAATCACTCATCAAACAATATCATATCATCTTAAACATTGCAGAGCAACGTTTTTTATAGGAAAAATGAACACTACTGAAACACAACAAGTATCATATATGCTATTGATATCAGTACACTAGGCATCTGCAGGTATCCAGGAATGATTAAAGATCACATTCCCTATTTCAGAGCACAATTTCACCTTTCTCTTTTGCTTTCTTCAAATATTCGGAGTAACCCAAGACATTTTTTATTTAAAGTATGGGCATATCAACCATACAACCAGGAAACAGATCAAATTAAATCAGACTCTAGAGTGAGAAAAGACAAGATTGGATTTCAGCAAACAATCTATTCAACAAAGAATTTGATGGAGGATGTTGAGAATGGCTAGACAGGGGTGTTTTTGGTTTTTTTCTCCTTCTTATACTCTTTCAGTATTTGGGCACCAATATAGGGGCCTTCTTGTAATTATTATTTACTCAAATTATAAAGTAATCTTTTGAGGGTGTGAACAGTGAATAACACACACCTCTCGACACTTGCTATCAGAGTGGGTAGAAGCATCTGGGAGTTGTTCTCTACTGATCTCCTACCCAGAGGCGAACTACTAACGTCACACCACCGCCGGATGACATCATCAGTCCGTACAAGTGCCGGCGGCAATCTATGAAACCAGCACAGTTTGATTCGCCCTGATTTTAGAAAAATTTTGGCATGAATCTTGTCATCATATGAAGCTTCTATGATTTTTGGTGGATTTTTTAATGAAAAAATCGCAGAAATTCCAGATCTGATGTCGAGCCATGTACAGCAAGTTTAGACCATTCAAGTCGTTTTTCAATTTGGGATTGACGGGAAGTGGTCCCATAATTTTCTGAGCACTGTGTGATTTTTGGGAGATTTTTTTCTCCTTCTATTTTGCTGCCAACATAGTTTTTTCGGGCTTCCTTTGGTTCTTAATCGTGTGGTAACCTGGTTTTTGGGTTTGGAACCTTGATTATAGTATTGGGGTCCTTTTTGGTTGGTGAAAAGGTGTCTTGTTATAATATGGAATCATCCAAGGATTTTCAAATGGTTCCCGGCGTGCTCCCAGGAACTGCAGATATTTCTAGTGGTATGATAACTACTATTAAACCGGATGGAACTAATATTTTAGAGTGGTCTCAGTCTGCTAAACTAACCATTACTGGGAGGGGTAAACTGGGATTCATCACAGGAAGGGAAGTGAAGCTGAGTCCTAAAGACTTGAAATTTGCAAGGTGGGAACAGGACAACTCCCTTGTTATGTCATGGCTGATTTGCTCAATGCAACCTCATATTGCCCGAAATTACATGTTTCTTCCATCTGCCAAGGATATCTGGGATAGGGTGGTTGCTACTTGTTCCTAAGTTAACAATTCGAAGGAAAGCTTGTAATATGCACCAAGGGGAGAGATTTGTTGCTATGTATTTCTCTTCTCTACAGTCTATCTAGGAAGAAATTGATCACTTGAAATCTCTAGTTTGGAAGGACCCTAGAGATGGTGAGCAGTATTGGAAGTACATAGAGTAGAATAGAGTCTTTGATTTTTTGGCAGGGTTAAACCCAAATATTGATTTCACCAAGCAACACATTCTTAATGCAAGCACTGTCTCTCTTGCTACTGCTTACTCTCTTGTACAAGGGGAAGAAAGTCAAAGAACCACCATGATGCAATCCTTTGTGAGTGATCATTCTACCTTTATGTCATCACGACCTAAGCAAAATACTAGCAAACATCCCATTGCAGAGAAGGTCGAGGATATTATTTGTGAGTACTGCAAGAAGCCAAGACACACTAAAGAAAGGTGTTGGAAGCTCAATCCTCATATAAAGTCGGAGAAGTACAAAACCGGGAAGAAGGCCAATGCTCACTTGGCTACAGTTGGTAATGATGCTCAACCCTTGGATGTGCTTAACTCCTTTGATGTGATGGAC